GCGAAGAGCAGTGCCTCGAGCAGCGCGGACTGGCTCAACGGCGCGCTGGAGCGGCACTGGCAGGTGCCGTACTTGTGCGCGAGCGTGCTGGGTGCGTTCCTCTCCAACGAGATGTCGGGGAACGCGAGTGTGCAGGGGGTGGGGCAGGAGGCCATTGCTTTCATCGGCGGCTTCCTGATGCTGTTCGGGAGTCGCCTTGGCGGTGGCTGCACCAGCGGCCACGGTATCGCAGGCATGCCGATGCTCTTCATTCAAAAGGCTTACACCATTCTGCCGACCCCCAGAAGAGGTTATGCGCGGCTTCCGATATCGTATGTGTTGTTTACCACTTCCCGCCGTGCTGCCTGTGTGTAGTTGTTAATGATGCGTCCTCATCTTCCTCCGCGTCTGGAGGCTCACGGGGCCGCCTCGGGGAGTTTTTCAAGTTGTCCGCGGGCTTTCTGGAGCTTCTTTGAGGCTTCTTGCGGGCCTCTTGGGGTCATGTTGGGGACTTGGGCGCAATCCTGAGGGGGGAGGGCTCCCAGGGTCTCTGCGGGTTCCGCCTTTTGGGCCTCTCTTGGCCTCCTGAGGGTTTTTGTTGGCCGTCTTGGGGGCTTCTTGGGCGGTCTTGGGCACTCTCCCAGTCCTACAGGGGCCTCTTCGGCCGTTTTGAGCCAGTCGGGGGGGCCTCTCGCGCTGGTTTTGGTTCGCAGATATCCGAGAAGGCGAGAACGCGAAGATCATGCAGAAGCCGCAGGGAAATCAATTGAATTTGCCCTTTTGAGGCCCCCTTGGGAGTCCCCTGGGGGACCTCTCTCGGCGTCTTGGGCCGTCTTGATGCCATCTTGCGTGTTCCTCAGTGTTCCTGAGGTCGGCGCACTGGAGCGCTTCGGAGCCATCTCAGACAGCATCTGGGCATCCTGGCGGCTGAGGCTTGAGTTTGAGGCCTCGAGGGCCCCAGAGGCGCATTGGGGAGTTCGACCCCCCCCTCCCTTCATCCTCCCCCCCCCTTTACTGGGATTTTGGACTCCAGGGGAGGGCGAGAGGGAGGGGACAGCCAGCTGTCTCGCACGCCATGTCACCCCCAGCAAGGAGGGGTCGGCGGATCCCGTCCATCGTAGGGGTCTGCTCCATGTTCTGCGCCGGGATTCTGACTGCGCTCGTGATGGAAAGCCAGCAGCAGTTGCAGCTGCAGGGGAGGCGGTGATGTAGTGCTTCACCAGTGCCAGGACAAGTCTCGGGGAAGCGCAAGACTCGAGTACGCCTGAAATCGGGTTAGCCGACGCTTTTTGACGAGCGCGTCCTGGAGATTGCCGGTCCAGTTTTCCTGGGATGTTTGCAGCGAGAGCTCGCGTCAAATTTCAGTATGGATCTCGTAATTTCCATGATGGCTCCGTCAGGCCAACCCGAGTCCCCAGAACCCGAATCTTACGTCTCTCTGAAAGTTGCTACAGGAGCGTTCCGACGCTGTCCGTTCAGATGCTGCTCTTAATTCGTTTTTCAATACGTCGCAGAGAGCACCTCTTGCGCTTGTACCTTAATCTTATTCTCGGGATGCCTGGGAGCTTCGATCTCGCCACTTGTCCTTCCTCATATCCTTCTGATTGAGTGCCGAGCAGGTGCACTCCCTCAGCGCCAGGCCTGTCTGCGACTGGGCCTGACTTGTACCTTAATATTATCCTCGGGATGTCTGGGAGCTTCGATCTCGCCACTTGTCCTTCCTCATCTCGTTCTGATTGAGTGCCGAGCTGATGCACTCCCTGAGCGCCAGGCCTGTCTGCGACTCGGGCCTGAGGTGACGGTTCGCGGCAGTGGCTCCTGGTGGAGCCTGATCGCGGAGTTCCGCTCCGATCCGACCCTCCTCCTCCTCCTCCTCCTCCTCCTCCTCCTCCTCCTCCTCCTCCGTTCGTAGCCATTTTGGCTCAGGCCGTGTTCCCCGCTTTCTCCGCAGCCTTTTCGCCCATGTTCGGCGGCTCGGCGGCGGCGGCGGCGGGCGCGCCCTGGATGGCTGCGGGAGGCTGCCCGCCGATGTGGCGGCCCAGTGTTTTGAGGATCATGGAGAAGGACTTCCTCGGCGCCTCCGCGGCGAGGCGTGCTGCTCGACGGCGCGGTCGCGCTGCTCTGGAAGCAGCTCTGCGGCCGCTTGTGGCGGCTCGCGGCGCCCCAGGCTCGGGGGTGGACCGCGAGCGCGCGTCGAGGCCGGCTCTGCAAAGGATTGCCGCAGGAGATCGTGTTCCTGGCGCGATGCGGCTGAGGCGGAACGCCGCCTGGCACGCGTGCCGTGTGCCGCCTGGCGGCTTCACAGCCGCGTCCTCGGCGGATCTGTCCTGGGCTGCTGCTGGGCCTCGGCTGGGGCACACTGCTGGTGGCATGCGGGCCGAGGCCGCGTCGTTCGTGCCGCGGGCTGCATGCCGTGCGATGGGCGTGCGGTGCAGCTGCGGGGCGGTCGCTTTCTCATCGTGCTGCTTGCCACCTCCTGCTGACGGCCTGGCGTCGCCCGACGCGTCGCTCGTGGAGGATGAAGGATCCGAGGCGCCCGAGGGGGAGCGGTGGGCAGGCCCTGGGGAGGCCACCGCCTGCTCGTCCTCCCCGATGGCGCCGCCCTGCTCAGACGCGACCCTGGCCTACCTGGAGGCGCACCCCGCTGCGGTGCTCAATGGGTGCAACGAGGCCGAGGACGGGAGCTGCCGCGTGAAGGTTCCGGCGGTGGAGGTGGAGGGCCTCGGCGTGTTCGTGGCGTCGGACTGCGTGGGCCCCTCCAAGGGCGACGAGTCCGTCTCTGGCTCGGACTCCCAGCAGTACCAGAATGCCACTGCCGAGGCGACCGCGGAGGACTACAGCGAGAAGATCAGCGAGGCGATCCGCGAGGCGGGCCTCGTGCGGCGGCTGCCTGATGTACCGCCGTGGCTGCTCGAGGTCTCTGGGTCTGATCCTGGTTGCGCCCTTTGCGATGGTACCCTCGTTCGTCGGCGACGCGGGCCAGGGAGGTGCTCATGCAGGGCATGCGGAATGCCCATCCTTCGTGGAGCGGATGTGGCAGCCTGTCCGCGCTGCCGTATTTCGTGGCACAGTTCGTGTCTCAGGCGTCTGTTCGACGAGGATTGGGACGACTCTGGCAGCTCTTCATGATGCCGTGCGTGCTCCTGTCCGTTGAGGTCTTCTTCGGGTTCACGCTTGTGGTGGGCTTCACGGCAGGTGTGACGTCAGCGGCGGGGCAGGGCTGGTGGCGAAAGTGGCAGGTGGCGCCACCCAGCCCTGCCCCCTCCTCTGGGGGGAGGCGCCGTCCCCCCAGAGTGTATGGCTTGGCAGTTGTCGATGTTAAAAAAAAATCCTCCTCCTCCTCTTCCTCCTTCGCCCCCCCCCTTTGTCAGAAGTGCGCCCTGGTCTAGCGCGCCTCCGCCGCTCCTGCACCGCGACAGCGGCCAGGAGCGGCAGCGCCACGCTCGTTGAGGGGTGTGGTGCTTTTCCCATTCTTTTAATTTTCCTCCTTGGCCTGCAGCCCCAATTTTGGACGGCTGCACGCCCCCGACAGTGGTTCGCGGAGTACCTTCCCTCTCCGACCCGACTCTCCTCCTCCTCCTCCTCCTCCTCCTCCTCCTCCTCCTCCTCCTCCTGCTCCTCCTCTTCCTTTTTACGTTCACCTGACTCTGAGCGACGGA